CATGGCCTCCATGGCAAAGGCTTCAAGCCAAACAGTGACTAGTTGTTAGCTTAATGAATAGAGACGGAATCAGTCACAGCATGGAGCAGATTCCATCAGGATTGCTGCTGCCGTTTATTTTGTCTGACTTCGTGCTGGGTATGATTCCCACGCTAATAATGTGGTCTGTGTAGGAGCAGTTTGCCAGCATGTAAAGTGTCTGTCAAGAAACTGTGCACTGTGTGCGTTGTTACTCCATCATTACTGATGAACTAGAGCAGCTGTTCTCCACTGATGGGTCATGACCCCTTTGGGGGTTGAATGACCTTTCATATCAGATATTTACATTATGATTCATAACTGTAGCAAAATTACAGTAGCAACAAAAATAATTTTATAGTCGGGGATCAGCACAACATGAGGAACTGAATTAAAGGGTCACAGCGTTAGGAAGGTTGAGAGGCACTGAGCTAGAGAATAGTGCAAACAATACTGAACCTTCCTACAGGGCCAGGTATAGAACGTGGAATATATTCCATCTGAGCACGTTACCTTTCCACTCTCCAGTCCTGGATGCCCCACTAAGAAGTAGAAATGGATTCCTGATCACCCATGACATCCTATGGGAAATCATGTGTATAGTCACATGACCAACATTTGCAGGGCTCTACTAAGTACATGATAATGTATTGGGTACTGGGCATACACAGATGGAAAGGCTCGGCTTCAGTTTTGGTTCCTGTCTGTCACTTCTTTCCATGTTGTCACTCTCTCTCTCTCTCTCTCTCTCTCTCTCTCTCTCTCTCTCTCTCTCTCTCTCTGCCTGTGTGTGTATGTGTGTGTGTTTATGTGTGCCATGTGCATACAGCTGCTTGAGGAGGAGGCCAGAGGGAATCAGACTCCCAGGAACTGGAGTTACAGGCAGTTATAAGCTAACTGATGTGTGTTCTGGGATTGAAACCCAGGTCTCCTCAAGAACACTAAGTACTCTTAACAGCTGAACCATTTCCAGCTCCTCTCTGCCCCATGTTCAAGAGAATGATATTTACTTCTGAACCACCTTGACATCCCATAGGTCCTCTTCTTGTACCCACAGATTCTGAATTGGGGGCACCTGGATAGGGCTGAGTGTGCCTTTCTAACAAGTTCACAGGCCATGCTGAGGCTTCCAGTTCCAGATACTCACCTTGAGATCGCCGCTGCCTGGCCATCAGGAATTACCAGAAGAGGCTCTCTTCCATTGCCTTCTTGACTCAGCCCATCAGGCTTGACTTCACAATAAGAAATAGATTTGATGATATTGCTTATAAATGACTAAGCAAGCTTCCTGAAATGTTCACAGCATGACAGTAGACAGGCCTTGATCCTTTCCTTTGTGAGAAAATGCTGGCCTACAGATTGAATTGTATTTTTGGAAGATGATAGTGTTGGTAAGTAAAAACTTAATCTAAAAAGAGTAAACTCACAGCTTGGCAATGGATAATAAGGCAATAACCAAGTTGCATTTTTTTTTCTCTTTCTCGTTTGCAGTAGAAAGGCACACTATCTCCTGCTTTTAAGCAAGAAAAGTCACACTAAGACCTTAGCTGCTGAGGGTGAGATGGGACAGCCTTTTGTCTGCAGTAATAATAACTTTTGGGTTCTGAAATGTGTTCTGTTCTACTGCTAAAGGCCAGGCTGGAAAAGCAAGGCAGAAAACTAGGCCCTTGCCTGCTCCTCTATGCATGTGGAGAATGTGAGGTGCCGAAGTGACCAGGGACGTTCATGTGTCGTGTATCATATCCAGACGCGGTTCACTTCCCACCTTGCTCTGCCTATTCAAAGACATTTCCAAGGCTGCTCTTTTCATAGGACCAGTGGCTTTTGAGATTTGGCTTTGAAACACCAGTTCTTGACTTAGGTCTGCCTGCCTTGCAAACAATGCTCGCTAATAGTTTGTGTTCCATGAATGTAAATGTGTTGGAAAAGTATACCTCACTCCCAACCCGAGAACCAGTATTAGACGCAGGATGTTTAAGAGACGATTAGTGGGTTGATGTTATTATTGGAGGCAGGGTCTCACTATGTAGCCTGGCTGTCCTATGTAAGGCTAGACTGTGGGAAGGGAGTGCCAGGCTTGAGATAAGTACTTGGAGTCCTCAGAAGCCACGTTCAGTCTCTTTACCCTACAAAGGTTGCTGTCTGCACCCCTAGAAGTGGGACATGCACTTATAAAGTGCAAACATCATGAAAAATATGATTTGTATTTAAAAGCGAAAAGAGGCAAAAAGCACGTTCTCTGTCTGATTTGACAGCTGCAATTTTGTATATCCTTCAATCCTCCTTTCACCTCTCCTCCCCAGTTCTTCTTCCTTCTCCCTTCTCAGTTTTAGTGAAGAGCTAGGGACTGAACCCAAGGCCTTCAGCATTCTAAGCAAGTGTCCTACCCCTGAACCACACCTGAAGCTCTATAAGTGACTGGCTCACTAAAATGAACACAGCAGATAAGATCTGAACATTTTTGATCCTTATTTTTATTAAGCAGGGAGTGTGGCTGGTATAGTTACAAACAGTATGACTCTATTGCAAAAGCTCAACTATTTTGCATCACTCCAACCCTTAGTTTTAACTTAGGCATCCCACAGCTAGGGACCTAACCCAGAGTCTCCTGGGAAAAGTCATTGAATTACTTCCTGTCCTCTTTCTCTTGAGTAAGGAAATGAGGATGAGAGTAATGTGTGGGTTGGGTTACGTTGTCAACTTGACACAAGCTAGAATCAACTTGGAAGGGGGAATAATTCATCAAGTAGAGATTACCTTTATCAGATTGGCCTATAGGCAAGTCTTTGGAGCTTTTTTGATTAATGATTGATGTTGGAAGGCTCTGCGATGCTCCCCTGGGAAAGATACTTCTGGGTTGTAGGAATAAGGAAACTGAGGAGACTCTCGGGAGCAAGCCAGTAAGCAGCACTCCATGGTCTCTGCTTTAGTTCCTGCCTTCCCGTTCCTGCTTGACCTTGAGATCCTGCCTTTCCTCAATAGTGGACTGAGTTTTGTTAAGCCAAATAAACCCTTTCTTTCTCAAGTTGCATTTGGTTTTGGTATTTATTTTTTCCCTCTCCCTGTTCCTCCCTCTTCCCCTCCCCATTCCTCCCAGGTCCTCCCAATTCCCTTTTTGTTCTCTACATTTTCTTTCTTTCTTTCTCTTTCTTTCTTTCTTTCTTTCTTTCTTTCTTTCTTTCTTTCTTTCTTTCTCTCTCTCTCTCTCTCTCTCTCTTTCTTTCTTCTTTTTCTTTTTTGTTTTTTTTTGAGACAGGGTGTCTCTCTGTGTAGCCCTGGCTATCCTGGAACTCACTCTGTAGACCAGGCTGGCCTCAAACTCAGAAATCCGCCTGCCTCCCAAGTGCTGGGATTAAAGGCGTGCACCACCACTGCCTGGCTTTTTTTTTTTTTTTAGATTTATTTATTTATTTTTATGCATATGAATACACCATCATTGTTTTCTTCAGACACACCAGAAGAGGGCATCAGACTCCATTACAGATGGTTGTGAGTCACCATGTGGTTGCTGGGAATTGAACTCAGGACCTCTGGAAGAGCAGTCGGTGCTCTTAACCACTGAGCCATCTCTCCAGCCCTCTTTCTTTATCTCTTTAAAACAAACAAATACACAAACAAAAAAATCCCCCCAAAACTCAACAAGAAACACACATAACACCCCCCCACACACACACACAAAACACAAAGAGTGGAAATCAAAATAGCAATCAAAAGACCAATAAGACAAAACAAAATGAAACAAAACAACAACAAAAGCAAAGTCAAAACCAAGCAAAATGATACAAAAAAAGTCTACACAAATACCATTGGGCTAACTACTCCTGAGCATGGAGCCTGCCTTGAAGTGTGGTTAAAAGGCCCATTAATGAAAACTGATTTTTCTCTTGCCAGTGGGTATAAATTACAGATAGCTTCTCAGGGGTCAGAGCCTGTGTCCACTTCCCATTCTTAGTGCTGGGACCTCATCTGGCTTAAACATGTGCAGGTCTTATGTGTGCTACTACAGGGTCTGTAGGTTTATAGGTGTACCAGTCAGTCCTACTGTGTCTGGTCTGTTTCCTTGAAGCCGTCCATCTTCCACATAGATCCCTGGGGAAGGGTTTGATGAAGACATCCTGTTTAGGACTGTGTGCTCCAAAGTTGTCTTGGTGTTTTATCACACAGTAGAAAGCAAACTGGGTCAAATAGTACCTCCCAGGCTGTGGGTACAGTTCAATGGCAAGAGGCCTTGGCCTTGATTCTTAGAACCTGTGGTGGTTTGAATATGCTTGGCCTGGGGAGTTGGCACTATTAGAAGGTGTGGCCTTGTTGGAGTAGGTGTGGCCTTATTGGAGGAAGTGTGTTACTGTTGGGGGTGGCTTTGAGACAGTCTTCCTAGGTGCCAGTGAGACAGTCTCCTTCTGCTGTCTTTGGATGAAGCTTAGAACTCCCAGTTCCTTCTCCAGCACCATGCATGTCTGCACACCACCATGCTTCCAGCTATAAAGATAATGGACTGACCCTCTGAAGCCAGCTCCAGTTAAATGTTGTCCTTTTAAGAGTTGCCTTGGTGATGGTGTACTCAAAACAAAACAAAACAAAACAAAACAAAACAAAACAAAACAAAACAGGACAACTCCCTCCCTAACAATGGCATACCTAAGGATAGCCAAGTTCTTTGATCTTGTGGACAACTGTGTCTTTGCCTACCTCTGGAAAATCTTAGTGACCTGCTGTTACTTAGCTTCAAATGGGCTCTTGTGAAGGTCACAAAAAATCATGAAAGGAACATGCCCAGAGCAAGGCTGACTGAAAAGAATGGAAGCAACACAATTCTGCTACCGCAAGTTAAGCAAGGTCTTGGGAGGATTGTAAGGCTACATTCTTCCTACAGAACGTCAGGAGAGAGAGCTAGAAAACAGCCCACTGGGCATGCTGAAGAGTAAGACACAAAGCATCTGCTGCTGCTTTAGAAAATGTTGCAGGTATATTTGGGTGGCAGTTTACATTAGCTCTTGAATCTTCTCCTCCAGTGTTTCAACATCAGCTCCTTGAAATTCAAAAATCTGTTTCAAATATACAAAAACACAAAAATATTTATTGATTCAAACATCAAAGTGTCAAGGAGTTTTGTGTTTGATTCTAAAATTGTTTCCCATTTCCATAATTTTTAAGACACTTCAAGTATCAATATACATTAAACAAAGTAAATTCATGACCTTTACTATTTGTCATGAGATATTATTTGTCAGGTGCACTCAGGTGGTATGGCCATAGATAATGTGCTACTCTTTCAAATGGGTGGTATGAATATTTCTCCAGGTCTTTATAATTCTATTTAATGTATGATCAAAAACATACAACAGTGCTGGAGAGGAAGAAGCCCAGTCCTTGACATTAGAGCTTATTATGTATGCATCAAGGGCTAGTTCAATTATAAATACAATTTTCCAAAATAAAATCTTTTTGTGACTTCGGCCCAGATTCTAACAAGTGTATGTGTTGTAGATTTTTTACAACCCCAACTCAGGGTACACTTTAATAGTGGAGGGTATATTTTAATTGCGGGTTTTTTTTTTTTTTTTTGTAATATATAAGGCAATGGACTCTCTTTCTTTTTGAGACAGGTTTTAGGTAGTCAAGTCTGACTGTGAAGTCCTGATTTTCCTGCCTCCATCCATGAAGTGCTAGGATTACAGGCATATGGCAAACGTACCCCGTTGGTATGCCTTTTAAATAGTTCTCTTACATTTGGTTTGGAGAGAGCTCAGCTGAAGTGCTTGGTACACAAGCACGAATTATCACATTTGATTCCCTAGAGCCCAACTAAAAAAGCGAGACGTGGTGGACTTTGTGTGATGGCAGTCTTTGAGCTGGGAGGTAGAGATGGGTGGATCCCTGGGTCTTGATGGACACCCAGTCTAGATTACTGTGTGATCTCCAAGCCAATGAGAGACCCCAAACCACTGAGATGGATGGTTCTTGAGGGACCATGCTGAGGTTGTTCTCTGACTTCCAAGGGTACTCATATACACTCACACGGACACACACAAGTAAAAGCATTACACTTAATAAAACAAGGATGTCAACCTACCTTTTTGAACCACTGTCGTGCCAATCCTAAGTGTATTATTGTTTGGATCAAGGGAAGTATGTAAGTAAACTGAGACCGGGATCAGACATACATGAGCTTCTGGGAAGCAGGTTTTGAAGCCAGGGATGTTTTAGGACTTTGAAATAGGGGCTGGGGAATTCCAGAACAAAGCTCTGTGCTCAGTGTGCTGCGGAGAAGTAACTGTGCCCACACCTTGCGTTTCTGCTCTCCTACTCCGCAGCATCCCCTCTGTGTCCGCCATTTTGTTAACTCCTTGAATGTAAACCCCGGGTGTGGATCACTCCCATCTTGGTCTCATTTCACTCACCTTCTTGCTTTTCACTCCACGTCTGAAACAGCACCACAGTGTTCTTTTGAGTCTTGAGAATGGAGTGACCTATGTGCGGGTGCAGAATTTCATGATTGATCTGAGTTGCAGGCATGTATTATCCATCTCCCTATAAATAATTAGAAGCCAGGGGAGGAAGGTGGCAGAAGGAATCTGCCAATGGGTCCCCTTTTCAGGGCTGGAAGCATCTGAGTTTGCAAAAGGCTTGCCTAGCATACACAAAGTTCTAGGTTTGATCCCCAGCACCTCATAAACCAACTGTGGAGGTGTGCACCTGTAATCCAAACATTCAGGAGGTAAAGAAGGTGGGAGGATCAGAAGTTCAAGCTCATCATGACCTTCACAGAGAGTGCGAGGTCAGCCTAGGCTACACTAGACCTTGTGCTTCCTAATGGCCTGCAGGGTGGCTCTGGGGCATGAAGGGAGTTTCACAATCAGGAATGCAGGAGTTTTGCAAAAGTTTGCAGGGGTGTGGGAGGTTTTGGATTCCACTTTTGTCTCTGTTTTTCCTATAGGAGCTAGAAGGGCGAGCATTACTATACAAGAACAGTGGCTCCCACTTAACCTTATTTTGGACTTTATGTCTAAGATCCTCCTAAGTCTTGACCTTTTCTTTTGCTACATGGGAGCCCTATACAATTAGAGGTAAGAATGAGACCATCTGACGGAAAAAGTATTCACAGACAAGAGACGGTGTCTGCTCTCATGACCACCAACGTGTAATTTTAGATGATCCTCTGGATTCCCAGGGCTCCATTAGAAGATATTTCTTATTTCTTTGGAGATATCCTCAGTAGGTCATATTGTGTCTGCTTATGTCAACCCACTCCCTACTTCAAAGGACAGGGAGAACTCAAAAAGAGAGGTTGGGGGGCCCCTCTAGAGAGAATTCTCTTATTGGGAAAAGCTGTGTCACATAGTGGGATGGTACAAGTCATGGGGTGCAAAAATGGGGCACAGCTCTCGAGAGAGGTGATTTGCATGATTATGGGTTATGAGATTCCTACTCTACAGCTACCAAGAATAGGCAGGAACAGTAAGAATCATGATTACTATGGAGTCTGACATCTTTCTAGAGATTCATTGAATCTACCACAGAGGACTGTCATCCATTGTATCACTAAAGATAGAATTTAAAAAATAACTTCTGAGTAAAAAGCTTAGAGAATTATTGTGAGGGAATCATACTGTATAACCACACCCACCCTTTCACACTGTTACCCTATCTATGCTCAAAAGCAACTTCAATTCTGAATTCTTCACAACAAATTGTTTTTGCATAGTTTTGAACTTTACAAATAGAATTCTACTGACTTTATTTTATGCCTGACTTCCTTCACTCAATATCATGATCATGATAGGTTGAACAGCAGTCTATGAGTGTTCCAATATTCCTTTGGATGAATATAACATAATTTATCCACTTGGACTATGGGGAATAATGCTGCTGGTAACATTCTTGTCTATGTATTTGTGGGGGGCAACAGAAATTCATTCTTGTTGCATATCTAAAGAATGGCATTATGTGATTAGACTTTAGTAGAAGTCCTTTGTCTTTCTGTCTCTGTCTCCCCCACTTCGCCCCTGCCCCAGAAAGGATCTCATATAACCCAGGCTGGTCTTCATCATACATTATACCCAGGATGACTGAATTGCTCTATGCACAATCACACTCAAGTCTGTGACATGCCATGGACTAACGCAAAGCTAGCTAGGCAAGCTTTCTACCAACTGAGCTACATCCGCAACCCCAGAAACTAACCATCCCTACAAGGGATGGACATTCTAGTTGCTCCACATCCTGACAACACTTGGTATCATCAGTCTTTGCATCTCAGCCATTCTGATGGCTTTAAGTGACATTACCATTGCTCCCTAATTGGTCACCTTTAATGTGGACTATAGCAATAATCACATAACTTTCTCTGTATTCGGTTTTGTGCCTTTTATGCCCCGCTGCTTCCATGAATCCCAAAGCCACAGAAGTAGCTATGAGATCCTTTCCAAGCTTCCTCAGTGTTTTATTCCTCACCATGGAATCCAGTCTTCTAATCATGTCTCAGTTTTGTCTCCTCCACCTCACCACCGTTCCTCAGATGAACTCTGAACTCTAGGGACTCAGAACAAATTCACTCGCTTACTTAAGACACACAGATTGAGGACCTCTCATCTGAAGCACTTGGTTACAAGCATTTCAGGTCTGAAATACTTGAAAATAAATAAGGAGATATCTTGGGAATGAGACTCAAATCTAGCTTGGAATTTGCTTATGTTTCACAGGTATCATCTATACGTAGTCTGACGTCTGCTCTAGTTTCCTTTATGGTGCTATGATTAAAACACTCTTACCAAAGGCAACTTAGAGGAGGTTAGGGTTCATTTCACCTCACTACTTCCAGGTCACAACATGTCATTGAGGAGTCAAGCAGAAATTCAAGGCAAGAACCTAGAATCAGGAACCATGGAGGAATGTTGCTTCTGGATCACTCCCTGGTTTATGCTTAGCTAGCTTTAAACAGCCGAGGACCACTGTCTGGGGAATGGTGCCACCAATGGTGGGCTGCTTACTCCCACATCAATTAATAATTCCAACAGTCCCTCACAGGCATGCCCACACAGGCCAACCTGATTTAGATACTTCCTCAATTTGACTCAATTGAGTCAAAGAGGTGTCAAGTTGACAATTAAGGGTAACCAAGGTAGGATTTTTGTACAATGCTTTCTAACTTTTTTCATAAAAGTAAGTCTATGTATGCTGAAACATCAGTCTTACAGCATCATGCTGGTACAAAGTATCACATTTTGGAACCTTTCTGACTTTGGATGTTTGGGTTAAGGATATTCACATGGTTTTCTTTTAACACCTGCACTTAATGAGTATCTACAGTGAACTAGACCACTGTGAACAAAACAGACAAAAATCCCTTAGGAACTCATGTGCTAATAATAATTTCATGCTATTGTTGTATGAGCACGGACATGATTCCAGATACTCACCCATGCTATGCTATAAGTCTGCTTCTCTCCATCTAGTCCCATCCCTCTGATGATGTCCATTTCATGAAGCCTTCTGAGACATTTTCTTCACTGAACTATAATGTTCTGAACTTGCCACTACAATGTAATTGATTTTGTCATCAGTCTGTCCATTAGCTCAAGGACAGAGACTATATTTTTCATCATATATTTAGTTAGTGACCAGTTTGGCACTCTCACATAAACTAGCTTTTATTAGAGGTCATTTTTGGTCATTGAAATAATAATTCAAGATTCTAGGTAGTATTAAATTTCAGGAATTAAGTTCTCTCTTTCTCTCTCTCTCTCTCTCTCTCTCTCTCTCTCTCTCTCCCTCTCTCTGATGATTAGTGGTAACTGTCAACTTGACAGAATTTCGAATCACTTGGAGATGGGCTTGTGAGTATGCCTGTGAGGATTGTCTTGATTCCATCAGTTGAGGTAGGAAGACCCATTCACTGGAGATGGCACCATTTGCTGGGCTCCTGGACTGTATAAGTAAAGAAAGAGACATGAGCAGCATGGACTTGCCCACTCTTCTCTCGTTCTGGTGCGGAAGAGTGTGGCAGCTGCTGTTGCAGCTTTGATCTCCCTGCCATGATGGACTATACTTTGAGTTGTAAGCAGAAACAAATTGTTTCTCTCCTAAGTTGATTTTGTCAGGGTCATTTATCACAGAATCATGGAAGAAACTAGACATCCTCCTTCCTGCTTGCTTGCCAGCCTTTTCTTTCTTTCTTCCTTCCCCCCTCTCCCCCTCTCCCCCTCTCCCCCTCCCTCCCTCCCTCCCTCCCTCCCTCCGTCGGCACCTCCCTCCCTCCATTCCTTCCACTTTTCTTTGTTATGGTGGAGAACTGAACCCAGGACCTTCACATATGGGAGGCAGGAGCCCTACCATCAAGCTGCATCTCCACCATTGTCTTTCTTTGTCTAGCCGACCAAAGACAAACATTGCATTTGTGTATCCCTGTGTAGTGTGCTTTGCATCTGGGAACTTAGTAAGCAGACTAAACAAATGGGGGAAGGCCACTGATCAGAGCTTATGCCACAAGTGGTTTTGCTAATGAGAGCTGTGCAATTGTCCTGGGATATTACTGGGGATTAGGGGACCAACAAAGTAATGAGCCACAGTGCTTGCCTAGAACCCAGGCCTGTTGTCTCATAAACCTTTAATCATCTCCAGAGTCTTTATAACAACTAGTTCAATATAAATGCTGTATAAAGAGCTGTTACCCTGTATTGTTTAGGAATAATAATAAGAAATGGAAGTTGGTACATTTTCAATATAGATTTTTTCCCAGATATTTTTGATCTGTTGTTGGTTACATGCAAGAATTTGAAATCCATGTATATGTCAATTCAGCTATTAATGGCTTGTGAATTTTGACCAAACTGTTTCCTCCTTTTTAATCTGGTGCTGTGGTGCCATGGTGCTGTGGTGCCGTGGTGCCGTGGTGCCATGGTTCTATGGTGCCGTGGTGCTGTGGTGCTGTGGTGCCGTGTTGTGTCTCAAAGGCTTCCATCAGAAGCATCAGGAATGAGTTTACAGGTCTCTTAATGCTGCCTTTATTTTAAAGCTTTCTGCATACCCCCCACCCCCGCTTTGAGATAGGCTCTAACTATGCATCCCAAGCTAGCCTTGAACTTGCAATTCTCCTTTCTCTGTCAACCAAGTGATAGAATTACAGGTATGCCACCTCACCTAGCTAGATCATTCTTCATGCATTTCTGCTGCACACTTGAAGTAATTGCAACAAAAAAGAGAAGATTCTGTTTTTTTGAAGCCAATGGGAAGAGGGAGGCTACACAGGACTAAAGAACTACCCAAACCCAACATTATTTAAAATGTCCAAAGTTTCACTACGGACATTTTGAAACATGCACAAATAGAATGATAAAGTGACTCTTTCCTGATTCAGCTATCATACAAGTCTAACCAGACGCAGTATTTCTTCTGTGTTGAAGACATTCTGGCATTTACACTTCTGTGTTGAAGACATTCTGACATTTACGAGAAGTGTATCACTGCTACT